GTAGGTAGTAGTAGGTCGTAGTAGATAGTAGTAGTAGTAGTAGTAGTAGTAGTAGAAGTAGTGGGTAGTAGTGGGTAGTAGTAGGTAGTAGGTAGTAGGTAGTAGGTAGTAGGTAGTAGGTAGTAGTGGTAGTAGTAGTCGTCGTGGTGGTGGTAGTGGTGGTGGTGGTGCCGGTGGCGGTGACGGCGGTGGTGGTGATAGTAGCAATTACACAGCTAGCAGAATATTGGCATTCACACATGCACTTTTCTGTGTTATTTCGATGTGTGCTCTTCTTACTTCGTGCTTCTTGTTGTTGCTGTCATGACAACAGCCAGTATGCTTTGCAATCCTTGACCTGGTGCGGTCCATGGCCACTGCCCTTGCATTAGAATCGATTCGCATCGCCAGCCCCGCGCCCCGGCCTGGCGCACCGTCGTTGAGCCGATGATTACCGAGCCCACGAACGGCCGCTGCTTGGCCTGGCTTTGGGTTCGTCCAGGGTTGGATTTGGGACTTGGTGTTTAGGATCGAAACTGTTTGCCCGCAGTGGTTGTGCCTTTGTGTAGAGCCTCAACCCTGAACCTCCTGACCCTGACCATTCCAAATGTCAAGCGCGTCACCTTCATGATTTGAGCGTCTGTACAACAACAGCACCGAAACAAAAAAACCAGATGCGTGCAGTAGCTGTGCTGTTCGCTAGTACGAGTACCAAGCACTTTCCGGGCATCTTGATCAAAGGGACCATTAGTAGCCACTGGTGATGCAACTACTGAAGACTTCTTCTTAGCAAAGCCTGTACGAATGCAGCTCCGACCCCTAAAGCCTGAAACTCCCAAAACCCTAAACTCAGACCTCAAAAACTTTTCAACCCCGAAACCCTCCGACCCGAAACCCCCTAGTGAAGCCCCAAGGCCCACGACGCTCGAACCTGAACCCTCTTACAGAACCCTCGTTTTGCAGCCTGAATGCACCGATCGTAAGACAGGGAGGAGTCACCCAGGCAAGGGCCAATTCCGTGGGGGTCAGGCCGATGCGCCTCGACGGAGCTTCTGGGTGGGGGGGGGGGGTTTTGGAGCGAGCTGAGGTTCGCCGGAGATGCGAACCCATGTAAAATCTCTGCAGTGCTATTGATTTTGATTCTGCTGTAGTCCCACACATGAAGTGCTCGAGCTGCCCTGTGTTTCCCTCCGATGGGCTTGTCACCACGATGTGGAGACTCATAGTCAGTTCGTTCTACGCAAACCTGTGCACGTGCAGGTGGGGCGAAGCTGGGAGCGCATGATCTGTCCACATTCCAACAGCTCGCCAAGCATCCACTCGAAAGACAACCTCGACTAGGGCTCAGAAAAGGTCGTACCCTTTACCTTGTGAAAGGAATATGAGTTTCTTACAGCCCCGTATATCCCATAGGACGTGACGAGAGGCTCTGCAATCGCCCGATAGCGGTCGGCCGCCTTTCAGGGAACTGACGGGGTTTCTTTCGGCTGTCGGCGTCTGGGGCCGGGCTGCGCTCTGCAAATCTTTCAGCGGCTGCCATCCATTCCCTGAACTGCGAAGCCTCGCACACGAAGCCTCACGAAGCGCCGCCAGAAGCCCTGCATGCCCGAACCGAATTCTGAAGCCGGTAGCCCCCTACAGCTGCCGTCCAACGGTGAGCAGCCCTAGAGGCTGGTCCGTTTTCGGGAGGCCTCGCGAAGGCAGCAACTAACACTCTATCCGAAAGCAGCCCCCAGCAAAAAAACCAATGAACCCAACAAGTGAAACAACAAAACTCCTCTTAAGCCTCAAATAAGCTCAGAAAAGGCAACTGAACCCTAAACCCTAAACCCAAAAAAGCAAGCAACACAATCCCCAAGCCCCGAGATACCAGTGCTGCGCGCTGCCTCCATGGTCGTCTTGAAGCCGTAGCGGGGCTGGAACCCGGGCTTCGCCTGGCGACCCACGCCAGCGATCGCATGTGAACAGCTTCGCTGTTCCTGTATAAAAAACACCTAAAACCTTGCCTTCTAAACCGAAGCAGATGCCTGAGCCTTGACCAACACACATAACAGGGGATCGCTAAAACTCCAAAGGGCTTGAGAAGGGCGCTCTGAACCCTAAACCCTAACACCGCAAACCGGTTTCAGGGAGGAGTAGCGCAGCTGAAACACCGCTCCGGCCTTGTGCCGGCAGTCGGACAGGGAGCGGCCAGGATCCTGCTACCAGTAAGTATGGTTATTATTAAGGTAATTATACTTATAACCACTTATAACCCCAATTAAGGGACTTATAACCATACTTTGCTACCCTCGGCGCGCCGGTCTTGTGATTATACCCGGGCAAATAATCAAGGATTGCTACATCTGCTTCGCCACTCACTATCCAGCAAGTTGTAGGAGGTCCACTAGGTACCTGACGGATTTTGCCGGTGGCTGTGAGCCAGGTTTCAACAGATCTTCACTCGATGCGAAGGCACCAGAACCCTAAACCCAAAACCCCAATCCGAAACCCTCAACGCTTAGAGTTTGAGGCTCAGGTGTGAGTTGAACCCGCTTACATTCGTACATGCTTGCAGGGCCCGGCGGCTCAAAGATCAGGGTTTGAGCTTGCATGGGTCTCAAGAACCGCGCACAGCGACAATTGCTGAGAATTCCAGATCTTGCGCCTAGAGCCTCTGGACTGAAAAAATCCTTCTGAGAAAGGCTTCCACTGGGGCCGTTCGCCAAGTCGCAACCGAAACACCGGCACCCCAACGTCTCAAGAGATCTCGCGATCGGCGAGGCTTTCAGCTTCAGAGTTCGACCAGGGATCTTGCTCATACGCTTGAAGAGATTATGATATTCGCTTGAAATCCAAACACGAAGGCTCGGAACGCCCGAACAGAAGCTACCCAAAGCTCCAGAAACACTGTTGAACCCTGCTGATTGGAGCCTTTCGGGATAAACGCTGTACCAAAATTGTTTGCGGGGCGGGGAGGGGCAGCACATGAAGATGTAAGGTCCAGTCTTGTTTTGACGGGGAGCTCCATGAGCCATCCCTGCTACCTGGCATTCAAGCTTCAAAGGTGAAGATGTAGATGGATATGGTGCCAGGGTGTGCCGTCCTTCTTCGCGTACGGCGAATCCTTGAGGTACTTGCCTGTGAGAACACCACCTGCCGGTCCACTCATTCTGCTGATAAGCTTCCCCATGGCCCATGATCGTACTCTGAAGTTATAGACACGGCTGCTGCTAACCGCAGCCATGGTGGTGGAGTAGGTGCAGCGTTATCATCACGACTTCAACTACTATTGATGCTAAGTATGATATGGTACCCTGAATGTCAATGTCACTACTTCTCCTCGGGTTCCTATCAGGTTGCACCTGCAGCAACAGTTTCGGCAAATGCTAGAGTGATTCTGTTGATTGTTCACATTCTCATCACGGCCAACACTCTGCGTAACTCTCAAGAAGCCTCCACCCTGAAACAGCCAAACCAAACCACTCAGCCCTGCAGCCCGAAGCTGGGACCTAAACCTTCTTAGTCATGGACCTGCAGCTTACACTTGAACTTAAGCTTGCGACTACTTGTAGCCTTGCTGCCAGTGCTAGTATATGCCTGCCAGTGGCATCCCTATTAGTCTTGAAATGGTACGTGCTCTTGGCGTTGCAATCTTCACTGTGCTTGGAACTAACAGCCTCACATCACTGAAATTATGCCCATCCTCCTCGCTTCTCTCTGATGGCTTGAAAACCCAGAGTTCTTCGGGTAGCTGATGTAGTATGTAGTATGTAAAATGTCTTTGAGTAGTTGATGTAGTATGTAGTATGTAAAATGTAGAATGTAGTGTGCAGTATGTAGTATGTAGTATGTAGCTAGTAGCAGCGGCAGTCGCAGAAGTAGCAGGAGTAGCAGGAGCAGTCGTAGTAGTAGTAGTAGTAGTAGTAGTAGTAGACTACTACTATTTCTCGCACTAGCAAAAGTACTAGTACTAATACTAGCAGCAGCAGCAGCAGCAGCAGCAGCAGCAGCAGCAGCAGCCTGTGTGAATAAGAAGAGTGTGAGCATCACGTTTATTACATTTGTTAATATCGTCGTTCATTTGTTGTTATCATTACTGCTATTGTTACTAGTGATCTCATACTACAAATACGATTGAGACGATTGTTCATCTTTCTTTGGTATCCATGAGCATTTTTCGCCTGTCGGGTCTCCGGCAGGCCTGCCAAAGCTCCGTAGTGGCAACTGACAACGCCGAAGCGGTGGCAACTCTCGTAGCCGTCCTCGGGACAGGAGTTTAGACGGTGGGCGCTTCAGGCATTTTCTTTTGGGCTGCTTGGGTTCATGATTGGCACCCTTCGGAGCCAACGGCTGGGGTGGAGGATCCTCATGTGAGGCTTCATTCTACACCAACAGCATCGAGCTCAAAGCTTGAAATACTTACTGGATTTACAGTCTGCGTGTGGCTCCGATTCCGGCAACCTGTTGAAGTTGGGCTTCCAGGTGCTATCTATTAGGAGGATCGGGCAACCGCAATTCGGGCACCTATACCCTCCACAATGTTTCCTACCCCCCTCCTACAAGTAAGCCTGCAGACGCTGAGCGCTATGTAATCCCGATCGAGTCCCTTAACACAAACACAGCACGATCGCACATGGCCCTTCAGATCAAGGAAACCACCACGGGCTGGGGGGTCGGAATCTTCTCAGGCTGCAGCATGTGAAGCAGGATAGAAGGTCGGGTTCGGAACCGCACGTGGGAAGTGAGGGCTCCAGGGATTCGGGAGAAGGGCTCCACGTTTAGGATACATTGGGGGCTTCGGATAAGGCGGAAAAGGCTTCCTTGTCGGATGCCAACCCGAAGATGCTGGAGGAAGATACCCTCACACTCCAGATGATGCACTGGGCAGGATGACTACGTAATGTCAGCCTCAAAAATAGAGATGGTGATGACAGCCAGCATGACAGCAGAAGCCAAAAGGTAAGAATTGAAAGACATGAAATTTGCTGCAGTAGCGAAACTATTACGAAGCAACATACCACAGAAATAACAACTGCAATACTTGCATTTGACTCGGGGCCACGAAACGAAGCTGGTTTTTACAACTACCCCTGTCAACACGAAGCCGACGATGCCCCAAACTCCAAACCGCGGAACCTCCTAAATTTGCCAAAATCAGAGGCAATTCCACCCGCTGCACGAAACAAATCGACCAGAAACACCGCTACCGAAGGACCACTAAGCCCAAGGGAATCACGCGAAACGCACCAGAGCCCAAACTTACCTCCCAAGCGGCCCAAGCCCGTCAAAGACCCAGGAATCCCAGCACTGTAGCCCTCCCATATGGCAGCCGATGGACGCTCTCAAAGGTCCGGTTGGCGAGGGAATAGTCCTGGGAGAGCTCACCGAAGCCAGAAACCCAAATCAAATCGAAAAGTTTGGGGATCATGCTGGCCTGTATGGTGTCTCGTCGCCGCTCGCAATAAATTCTGCCGTGGGCATGAAACCATATTTCCATAAAGACGACAGGAGTTGCCACCCTCACAATCATCATCATCATCATCATCATCATCAGCATCATCATCATCACTGTCTAAGACCTTGTGCTCTGCCGGCTGCGTGCATTATCCATGTTCCCCTCCTGAGGGTTTTCCCAAGGATGACACCAGCAGCACTATTTACTGTGATCTTTTGCTGCCGTGTTTGCTACACACCCAGACCTGAAACTTGAGGCTCTTACTACTATCTTATTGTGTTGGGGTGGGGTGGTTTTATATATGTTCCGATTCCTATTCCTCACCATCGTTTTAAACTTGTAAGGATCGTGCCTTGTACGCTTGCCGCATCTGTTCATGTTAGAGGGAAGCACAGGAAACATCGAGGAACCTAATTCGACGGAGCTGTACATTCGAGAATCCCCGACAGGGAAGGCATGCTTGCCTGTCTGGCTCTACCCTTGGGGTTCAAGTCTCAAGGTTGCAGGTCTCGGTGTTTCTTAGGGTCTACATACAACAGCTGCTCTTGAATTGTCCAAGAAGCCCAACCAACCTTCTACAAAGATATGTATAGGGTCTTGTAACGGGTAAAAAAGGAGCTATCTGGGTGTTGACAAATAGTCTTCTTCACCATGAGGGCCCCAAACTACAGATAGCCACACATCCCAGAAGCCCCTGCACTGCCGACGGAGGTGCGTTCTGTATGCAGACTGGTCGGGGCACGCCCAGCTTGTCGCAGGCCACACAGAACATGGTGACCTAGGCTTGCCCCTGAGGCCGAAATCCTAGGGTCCTACACAACCCCAACGCCTAAACCCCAACAACTCCTGGACCCTAAAGCACAGAACTAAGTCCGGAACATTAAACAACGACAAAACCGTGACAACATCCTAGATGCTGAACGCTCAGCCATGCACCGAAGCCCGAGCAACAAAAGTGCGGCGCTCGGAGGCCGGGATTCTGTTGGGAGTTTCTAACTTCGGGGCTCGTTCAATAGAGTCCCCCTTCCTAGGATATTCTGCAAAGCTCCTTGGGCAGCTAAACAGCTTCTAGGGCTTTCTCGGAAGTTGGGATCCGTGACCGGGCGCCGCAATGCCATGGGTCCTGAGTCCTGCGAGCCACGATCTGGAGCCAAACCCCTAAACCCCACAGGCCGTAAAGTAACCCACATAGGAAACCACGCAGCAACCTTTGTCATGAGTCGCAGTAATCCTCTATAGTAATCCTACGTAGTCCTTACAATGGAACCGAAGCCCTCTGCTTACAGGCTTCCGTATCCCTCGGCCCTCTGCCAGGAGCCTCGAAATTTAACGGCCCAGTGGCCCCGTAGTTGTTCTCGTTGGAAAGCGCCCAGTGCTTGATCAAACCTTCCGGGGGCCGACTAGAAAGGACCGAGCCTTTACAGGATCCCTGAAACCCTGAACCCTAAACCCTTAACGGCCAAAAGGGTTGCTAAAGTCCAAGACTCTAATCGTGGCCCGGCTCAAAGCATGATGAAAAGGAGAAGTGCTGTAACAGTTACACTATGAGGCTCACAAAGTCTGAGAGCTACATCGCTGCAATAGAGAAGGTGCCTGTTACGAACCTTACTCTTACGACGGCGAGCCTTGGAACTTGCCGTTTCGACAGTATGTTGGACTAGCTTTGCCAAGGGCACACTTTCGGGCTGAGGTACGCAAGGCTTACTCAAGGTTCTACATCTACAGTTCACGATCGAGCAGGTGACAGTTGAGCTACTTCAGGATGTCCACAAGTGTTCTAGGCTGGAGGGCAAAATTTCAGGATCCACGGTCAGAATTACCAGCTTCAAGGATGAACATGCCTGGGCGAGTCACGTTTGTGGGCCTACGGTTCACGTTTGAGTTGGTGCTGATACGTTGTAGTAGTTATCGTCGTCGTAGTAATAGTAGCAACAGTAGCAGCAGTGGCAGTAGTAGCGGTAGTAGCTGTCGGAGAGTAGTAGTAGCCGCAGCAGCAGCAGCAGCAGCAGCAGCAGCAGCAGTAGTAGTAGTAGTAGTAGCAGTAGTAGTAGTAGTAGCAGCAGTAGTAGTAGTAGTAGAAGTAGTAGAAGTAGCCGTCGTAGTAGTAGTAGTAGTAGTAGTAGAAGTAGTAGAAGTAGTAGTAGTAGTAGTAGTACTAGTAGGAGTAGTAGTAGTAGTAGACGTAGTAGTAGTAGTAGTAGTAGTAGTAGTAATAGTGGTAGTAGTAGTAGTAGTAGTAGTACGGCATCCCCCCCCGGTGCGACGCCCAGACCTC